GCTGTCCTGTGCAGGGATACCTGTTAGTAGTCTCTGATCTCTACCCACTAGATGCCAGTAGCATCCCAGTTGTGACAACCAAAAATGTCTCCCCGATATTGTCAAATGTCTCCTTGGGGACAAAATCTCCTCCAAAGGACAACCACTGGTATAAAGATATAGCTTACAATGAAAATAAAAATCTTACTACAACAAAATCAATAGAAAATACAAACTGTTATATTAATTAGAATATGACATAAAAAGCACACTGTCAAAAATCACATTACTAGAAAATATGGGCTGAACATAAAAATAAGTGTGGAAACATAAAACTTAAAGTGGCCTGAACTTAGTAAAAAAAAAAAGGAAAAGTTGTTAGTGCTACTTCCTACTTCTTCTAACTTCTTAGTTCTTTTTTTATGTACTGTGTTTTAGAGGAGTCTAAGAATATTTTTCACAGGAGAAACTGTACTAGAGGGAAATAAGTTAAAAGAATTCTACAAAGCAAATAAACGTAAAGACTCAACTATGGGTCATCTACTTTCCTTCCCACCCATTATGTATACAAATAGCCACTTTTAAGTTATTTTACTGTATAAACTTGGGCTCCACATACATAATGGGATTAGAGAAGATAATTCTGTTGTTTGAATTATTTCTCGAAGAAAAATTGATGTAATTAGATCCATAAAGTATTGTTATTATAAGCCACATATTTTCATTCTATTTACAAAGCCAAAATCCCAAATAAACACATTTCCTTGTCATTAGGCGCCATCGAGTTGGTTCTGACTCATAGCGACCTGATGCACAACAGAACGAAACCCTGCCCAGTCCTGCACCATTGTCACAATTGTTGCTATGTTGGAGCCCACTGTTGCAGTCACTGTGTCAATCCATCTGGTTGAAATAAACACATATCACATATAAATAACTACCTTCAAACTACTTAATTGTAATTCCCACTGCTATGTCCTACAGTTCTACATTTTTTTGAGTACTCTCTCTATATATATAATACACTTACCCATCTTTACATTTGAAAAGGGACATTTTTGTTGTTATTTGTTTTTAAGTGCGTCTTTGGGAAAAATACCAACCCTTTATAAGATTTAATGACCTAGAGAATGTAAGTTCCTCCTATAGACTTCAGACTAAGAAGGTTATCATGTATTTCCTGTACCGACAGAGTAGGTATTCAATAAATATATGTTAAGTAAATGGCTAGGGTTCCTGGGTGGTGCAAATGGTTAACACACTCAGCTACTAACCAAAAGGTTGGCAGTTCGAGTCCACCCAGAGGCACCTTGAAAGAAAGACTTGGCTATCTGCTTCTGAAATATCAGCCACGGAAAAACCTATGGAGCCCTCACCCCTAATAGAATGGTAATGATCAGAAAAACAGAAAATAACAAATGTTGGCAAGAATGTGGGGAGACTGGAACCCTTATACATTACTGGTAGGAATGTAAAATGATACAACCGTTGTGGAAAACAGTATGGTGATTCCTCAAAAAATTAGAAATAGAGCTACCATATGATCCAGCAATCCCACTCCTATGTATATACCCTAAAAGAAGGAACATGAGCAGACACATGTATGCAGATGTTCATTGCAACACTATTCACAATAGCAAAAAGATGGAAACAACTCAAGTGCCCTTCAGCAGATGGACAGAATGTGGTTACTGACATGGAGTCCCTGGGTGGTGCAAATGGTTATGTGCTTGACCACTAGTCAAAAAACTGGCATTTCAAACCTACCCCAGAGGTGCCTCAGAAGACAGGCCTGGCTATCTGCTTCTGAAAGGTCACAGCCTTGAAAATCCTATGGAGCAAGCAGTTCAACTCTGCACACATGAGGCTGCCATGAGTCGAATCCACTCCAGGAGAACTAACTACAACAACAGTTACTAACATACCAAGAGAACCAGATTCACTTCTGAGGCAGTCCCAAAACACTGACTCAAATACTGGCACTCCTCCAAGGCTCCTGGTAGTGAGGTGGTTAAGAGCTCCGCTGCTAACCAAAAGGTCGGCAGTTCAAATCCACCAGTTGTTCCTTGGAAACCCTATGGGGCAGTTCTACTCTGTCCTATAAGGTTGCTATGAGTTGGAACCAACTTGATGGCACCTAACAACAACAAAGAGAAAAAAGAAAAATCATCAGGCTATCTGTGTCATATACTTGAGCTTGTAGGTCTTCTGAGAATAAGCTTTTAGTCACTTAGAGTTTGCATCTTTTTAGGGATTCTATAAGAGCTGAATTTTTAACAAAGAGCTAGTCAATATAAATATGATATAAAGTCAAATTGGTAAGGTAAAAATTTTAAGTGCTTTTTGAAAACTATTCTGGGGTTCAGCAATTTGTTTTATACATACTCTAAATTATAAATGTTTTGTTTTTAACTAAAAGTTTAAAAACCAAACTATCTTTAAATTTCAAAGACTACATTCTCCTATCTGGCACAAACACAAACATTATCAAATTCAAATACTTTGCTGGCATCTAAAAACAAGATTAATACAAACCTAAAGTCAAGTTATGATATGTAGTTCATTGTTTAGTGTGAGTCACCATGAGTAAACTTTCAAACTCACTTCCTTTGAAATACTAGCTCTTCATACGTAAATTTCTAAGTATGTACATCATAATTACTACCTTAAAAGAGACTATCAGAAGAGTTTTCATGCCTGATTTCCCCTGTTACTTTTGATGAAGATATAAATTTACCTTTGTCTGTCCCAGTTGTAGAAAAAAAATTCTTGTTAAGTCAGCTGTTTGGAATTTATTTCCTCATTGACACATGATATAAAACCAAAACTGAGTTACCTCCTAATGTAACTAATGTGTGGGTGGTACTTGAGTCCTCAAATTCCTTTTTATTAGTGGGAAATGTTTCGATGTATGTTTTAAACATCCTGTATTACAAAAATTTAGTCAGCTGATTTTGAAAAAAGCATTCCCCTAGGGAAACTGAATTGACTCATACAAAAGCCTCTTAACTGTAACTGGTCTCCCAGGATCCAGTTTCCCCTTTCAATATTCTGTCCTCAATTGTGCTACCACTTACCTTACAACTCAGGTTATGTCACACTCCTACTTGAAAATCTTCACTGCCCAAAGAACTACCACAGGATAAAGTCCAAATTCCTTAGCCCGACAACAGAAGGCTTCCCAGCTGGTACCAGCGTACCTTAGTTTTATCTTCCATCCCTCCCTTTTACACAGACTAGCTGGAATCTATAGACATTCTCATCACTCCCTAAGGTCATGTTCTTTCACCCCTTCATACTCTTCTAAAAATTCTTTCTTCTGCTCAGAAGGCATTCTTACCATTTTGCTTGTAAGATTCACCAATGATTACCCAGTTCATTATCACTTCTTCTATAGAACTTTCCCCAATATCCCTCAGATATACTTAGCACCTTTGGTCACCCTTTCCCCCTCTACCAGTATTGAGCATGGTGTTTATAGTAGTTCAGTAAATGTTGTATAAATTTCTAAAGCATACATATGCTTAAGTGAGGGACTGATGATAATCTGTTGAAGCCACAGTTAAAGACCATAAGAATATCCCATTCATCTATTTGCAGGTATGTAACATGAAGGAACCCTCGTGGCGCAGTGGTTAAGCACCTGGCTGCTAACCCAAAGGTCATCGGTTTGAACCCACTAGCATATAATAACTGACATATACACTGACATTAAAAATATAGTCTCATTTATACTTACAAACACATGGATCAAGGACTACCAAACCTCCAGATACATAATCTACTTCACCTGAAATACCAGTAAATGTTAACCACCTAGAATACCTCAGTAAATAGTCTAAACCAGAGAAGACTAAGTAGCTTCCCACTCAATAAAATTTCAGTACTCAGAGCTTCAAAATTTCCACACTGGGTGAGGCTTATCCACTTAATTTAAAAAGAATAAGCCAAAGATAAGGGAAAAAAATGCTATTAGTTTCCTGAAAGTCAAGTGTCCTATACTGAAATCTTTCATTATTCTTTGAACAACTCTCAAAGCAATGATTTAATTTTTTTTAAATCTACATTATACTGTATCACTGACAGAGAAACTACAAGCTTGCGAACAATATTTTAATACAAGAGCCAAAATAAATAAAGATGTCGTTTCCAAAAAGAAGGTGGAGTGTTGACGATCTGTTGCCCCTATGTTCGGGCATCTCTAGTATCTTACGTATTCAAAGAAAGTTTTCCAGTTCAAAAACAATTTCACATAGATGATATAATTCTTATGATAATCCTAAGAGTTAAGCAGGGCAAGGATATTTGTCCGCAAACACTGCAAACCCAGCAAAAACACAGATAAAAGGCTGTTCGGCTATAAAAATGTAGCACTTAGTTTCCAAAAAGAAATAGTGTTACTACAACAACAAAATGATCCAAGAAAAATTAGCCCCCCCCCCTTAGTCCATCTATTCCATCTCTCAATTTAGCTCGGTGGACCTACTGATGACACCGCTAATAAAATGAAAAACAAAAATCTCAAGATAATAACCTGATGCAAAGGCTTCACCTTCCAGTCTCTTTCCAACTGACATCAACTCTACAGGGAAGATCAAACTCCATTTGCTTAAAGCATTTTAAACATGCACACATTCTGGAAGCGCACTCAGCCTCCAGGGCTCTCAGCAGACGCCGAGGTGAGTGTCTGACTCCGAGTGGTCCCGAGAGAGTCTGAGGGACCCGACGCCGCGCGAGATGCGAGCCGGGCGCACAGCAAAAGGCTCCCGCCAAGCAAGAGAAGGAGAAAGAGGATCCAGATAAGAGAATGGCGCGAAAGAGCGAGATTTGGGGTGCCAGACCCTGAGTTTGAGGTCTGAGCAGCGTCCGCACACATCTATACTGGCTTCGCCTTCCAACCCCGGATCCAGTCCGAGGCCAGGCCTCTCCACTCCCTAGCACCACGGTGAACTTCGAGCGTCCCAACCCTAGGAAACAGCAACTCCAAAGGACCTGTCAGGGCCCTGGAGGCAGACACCCACCTGGCCGCGCCCCATCGAGGACTGGACCCAGCAGGCCAAACAACAGCAGCCACTGGAAGCAGAGGGTCCCAAAGGACGAGCTTGCGCCCGACCCCATCTCGGCTGATTCCGCAGGTTCCACTCAACACTCCGTCGCCTCTGCCTCCGCCTGCTCCATCACTTCCCAACCCTACCCGGGCCCCAGGGCTGGTCGGAATGAACGCTCCCGGGAACGAGCACGCGCGCGACACTTACGCAATTTATCAGCCCCGCCCCCTTTACTCTCGTGCCCGCCTACTTTTGCGGTTGAAGGAACCGATTGGAGGAAGCAAAAGAGGAGGAGCAAGAAGCCTAGAAGAAGAATTGAGAAGCGGAAGCGAAGCTCAGCCCCTCCCACCTGCTCAGCCTTTTCTGGTTGGTTGGCGGAGGTGAGGCGGAGCGTCGAACTGCGTGTCCATTGGCTGTTTGGCAGTGAGGAGCGGGGCTGCGCGGAGAGGCCTGGCCGCAGAGGACTTCGCTTGGCGGTGCTGGCGTGGGTTTGTGGCTGAGGTCGGTTCTCTGCTACTGGGCCTGGGAAGATGGTGCTGGGCGGTTGCCCAGTGAGTTACTTACTTCTGTGCGGCCAGGCGGCTTTACTGCTGGGGAATCTACTTCTACTGCATTGTGTCTCTCGGAGCCACTCGCAAAATACTACCTACGAGCCCGAGTTCACATCCTCTGGCACCGCCCACCCGGAGGTCTCCGCTGGCACTCAGAGCTGGAAATATGTCGACCCCCAGTCTCCAGTCATCCTTTGCTCTTACCTGTAAGCCACCCAGTCGTTGAGGCGGGTGGAGATGGAGATTGGGCCAAGGATATATGGGTATTGTGGGGAGGGGAGGGGGGAAAGCTGCTTTTTTTTTCAGACTTTCTCCATTTAAGCACCTGATAGTCAACACGCGAGAGGTGAATATGACAGGTTTCTCAGTCTTCTCACCCATGCAGGGGAAAACCTTGTGTGTGGGTGGCAGATCCTTTGCGACCCCGAGAGAGGAGGACTAGGGAGAATGACATCATATAGCATCTGGAAGAAGGGTACCAGGTTCTCTGTTCTGCTTCCTTTAGCCAGGGGAGAATTCATGGAGTGTTAGCCGATTAGGTGCTGGTACTGAATAAGGCAGAAATGGAGTAAATGAATGACCTGTCCCTGCCTACAAGGCACTCACAGCAATATCCTTACCACTGCAAAACCAAGCCGTTTATTAACATCTCTTTGATCAATAAGAAAAAGCGTTTGACAAATGCACAGAGAGCAGGGACTCCAATGGCTAAAGTTTTGCCCCTTTAACCTTGTGGTTGTTTGCCTAGGGAAGAGATGAAGCCTAGGCAGAATCCAGTACTTGGGGTTGGATGTGGTGCAGAGGGATGGAAATAGAATCCATGTAGAAATAGGACTAGAAACTACACCACCCCACTCCCAATAAAAGGGTCATTTGGAGGCTGTTTGAACTGTTGTACATCAGTCTAATTGACACCACCTTTAGGCTTGGGGAAGGGTCTACAGAGTGAAATTAAGCCCCAGAAAACTTGGTGAAGAAATGCCTCCTGCTTGTTTTGTTTATATACATGTAAACAGCATTTTGCAAAGACCATTTGATGATGATGATCATCTTACTGGTGATTTACAGACCTGATGAATTTATAGAATGTGAAGACCCAGTGGATCATGTTGGAAATGCAACCGCATCCCAGGAACTCGGCTATGGTTGTCTCAAGGTGAGTTTTTGTTTTGTTTTATTTTGTTGTAGAAGCAGACTCTCCTGTAGAGAAGTAAAACCCAAAAAACCAAACCCGTTGCCATTGAGTCAATTCCGACTCATAGCAACACTATAGGACATAGTAGAACTGTTCTGTAGGGCTTCCAAGGAGCAGCTGGTGGATTTGAACTGCTGACCTTTTGGTTAGCAGCCGTGCTCTTAACCACTGGTTAAATGTTATTATAGAAAAGTATAAGGAGTACAAAGTTACTCTTTTGGTAGACTTTCATCAGAGTGACTATTACTGGATTTCCAGCATGGTCAGGGTCAGTGGCTGAAGGAGTAGTCTTTGTGCCAAATGCAAAGAGTAATCTGTCTTTGATTCCTTTGGCCATTGACATGGACAGATTTCAAGCTTAAGTGTCACCCCTGACTTCAAGGCATATACTTTCCTGTAAGAGCAAAAGAAAGACTGTCCATTTTCTAAAACTGATGATGAGTTGGGCATTATCTTTCTTATGCATGCATTTGGGGAAGACCCCCTTTTCAGATGACCGTTCTTTTCACCAGACAAGCAAGTTCCATCATATCCTTAGGACATAGATAGGGTCTATTAATAGATGTCTTTGTAGGAGGCTAAAGCATTCTAGGAGTCCCTGGAAACAGTAACACACTTGGTTGCTAACTGAAAGGTTGGAGGTTTGAATCCAGCCAGAGATGCCTCAGAAGAAAGGCCTGGTGATCTACTTCCAAAAAAATCCAGCTATCGAAAACCCTGTGTATACCCATTGCTGTCTAGTCGATTCCGACTCATAGCAACCCTATAGGATAGAGTAGAACTGCCCCATAGGGTTCAAACTGTGTATCTTTTTGTTAGCAGCTGAGCTCTTAACCTCTGTACCACCAGGGCCCCACCATTTACAATAAATGGACACAATGCTTAATTATTCTACCTTTGCAGGGAAAAGCTCATTACTGAGCATTTGGAGGTAATAAATACTGACCTCTTAACCACTGTGCCACCCTATGGAGCACAATTTTACTCTGACACATGTGGGGTCGCCATGAGTCGGAACTGACTCAATGGCAACTGGTCCTGGTATCAAGTGTTCCAAAAGAAGCCTTTGGTAACAGTGGCCTTTTGGAATGGAAAGAAGCCATTAACTTCCATTTAATAATATTCCTAAAGCGGGTGCACTCCACCTCCAAGTTGGTCTCCCAAAAACCAATGAAGTTCATGTGCCTCCTGCCCCCACCATGGACTCACCATTAAGTTACATTATGCTGCATAATGCAAGTCAAAACTCAGCTAGGTGTTAGAGAATCATGGGAAGACATTTTGTTGTACTAAATTAGACACATAGGAATAAACCTGACAGTGATAAGACCATAAAGGCAACTCTTACTGTGGTCCTCTGTAAAGAAATATTTTCAATACCATGAACTTTTGTTCTGTTGATAATTATTAATAAAAGTTTGAATTAACACTGTATAGAGGTCACTTACTTTGCCTGTCTTAATTAAAAACTAGGTTTATCATGGCAAGGCACCCAAAGAAGGCAAGGTATGCTTCCTCTTACCTTACCCAGAAGTCCTAGAGGACTGTCAGTACTCAGACACTTCAGTCCCAAAGGGAAGGAGGAGAAGTAAGCATCTTTATTTCCCACTCCACAACCTTTGAGGATGCACCAACTCAGGTAGTCGTAAAGCACTTAATATGGTGCCAGTAGAAAATTTACAGCTATGCTTTCTGTGCTAGAATTCAGTTAAACAAAGGGTAGGAGGCCCTGTTCTGAAATTTTTGTCAGAATTTAAACTTATAGATGTACTATGCATATCTGGGCCACATTCATGGGCCTCTGTAAACTCCTGAATCAGATAATATCCTGAATTCTTTCCTAATTTTGTCAATTTATAGTGTATGTAAAACAGACCTCTAGCACACACTGACTTTTTAAATACCCATTCCCAAATGCTTAGTAATGTGCTCTTTTTCCTGCAAATGTAGAATAATTAAGCATCGTGTCCATCTATTCTAAATGGTAGAACCCTGGTCGTACAGAAGTTAAGACCTCGGCTGCTAACCAAAAGGTCAGCAGTTCGAATCCACCAGCTGCTCCTTGGAAACCCTATGAGACAGTTCAGTTCTGTCCTATAGGGTCGCTATGAGTTAGAATCAATTCGACGGCAGCGGGTTTGGATTTTTGGATTTTTATTCTAAATGATGTTTAATAAAACTTATGATGAATTTTTTTTACTATATTACTGAAGAAACCAGTCAAAAAGAAAGAAAAAAGGAAGTTTACTGGAGATAGTCTACATTTAGAATGGATTAAAAATCGCTTAAAGTATGTTACTAAATCTCTTGCTCTTGAACACAGTTTTGCCCCAACCTTGTTACAGTAATGATAGCCCTGAGACAGCTTTTATTAATGATTATAAAGATGTATTTTGTGTTAACTTGGTTTCAATGGGTTTTCTGTTTTTGTCTGTTATTCCACAGTTCGGTGGTCAGGCCTACAGTGATGTGGAGCACACCTCAGTCCAGTGCCGGGCCCTAGAAGGAATTGAGTGTGCTGATCCTAGAACCTTCCTACGAGAAAATAAACCTTGTATAAAGTAAGTATTACTTTGGAGTAGTTGGTACTTGGATGGAGCCCTGGTGGCACAGTGGTTAAGTGCTACAGCAAGCTATGGCTGCTAACCAAAAGGTCAGCAGTTCAAATCCACCAGCTGCTCCTTGGAAACCCTATGGGGCAGTTTTACTCTATCCTGTAGGCTCACTATGAGTCAGAATTGACTTGACAGCAGTGGGTTTTTTTCGTTTGGTACTTGGATAAAGGTGGAGCCATCAACTCAATGGCAACAGGCTTGGTTTTTTGGTGTTTTAAGTGTTAAAGTGAACGTGATTACTGCTGTGCATAATCCATGGACAGGGACAATGTGGTTAGAGTAGAGAGGACACTGGACTTGAGACCAGAGGTCGTGAGTTCTGAATGTCTCTCCCACTGATTAGCTATGAAAACTCAAGAGTCTCTATCCCCTCATCTACAAAATGAAAGAGTTAGACCAGATGATCTACCTGTAAAATTCCTATGATAGGCATAAATCCTGTGAAAATAGCCTTAGTATTTCAGGGATAAAGGTTTTATTATGAAAAATGTGGGCTCCTCTTCCCCAGAAATCAGTTTATCATAAAGGTAAAGGATTAGAAGTCCCTGGCTGGTGCAGACGGTTAAGCGCTCAGCTACTATCTCAAAGGTTGATGGTTCAGTTCTACTCAGAGGCACAGCCATTGAAAACCCTATGGAGCATCAGCTCTACCCTGAAACACGAGGTCACTGTGAGTCAGAATCGACTCAATGGCAACTGGTTTGGTTTGGTTTGAAGGATTAGGGTCATTTCTGTAAGTTCCACTCGAAGGCACAGAATTATACATTTGTTAATGTAAGACCCTATAGTTATGTTTAGCCATACTGGAGGAACTACAATTGAGTGTCATCACAGTGTGTAAGGACAAAAGTCTCTATGAAGAATCTTTGCTTTTAGCTGCCAACATTATAGAACACCAGGAAAGCTATATGGAGATCTGGTGTCCATCTTTGGAAAAGACAGTGTTTCCTTAGAAGACTACTGAGCCTCAGGAATGCAGCCTATATGGGGGAAGGGGAGGGCCCCAGATGCCACCCCTACCAGGATACCTATTGTACAAATGTGCTTCATACTTTCTTATCCAATCCAACTCTGCAGAGTCACTGTCTTAGCAAGTACTGTTTTGGAACCCTAGACCATCGAGAAATTTTCTTTTCTGGGAAGATGGGGGTAAGATGCCACAGAGGGACAGCTTTTCGCTTTTTTTGCCATCTTTTCACTTAAATTAAATTTGTGTTTATATAGTAAAACATCTTCCTTTTCATTCCTTTTGTCTAGGTATACTGGACACTACTTCATAACCACTTTACTCTACTCTTTCTTCCTGGGGTGTTTTGGAGTAGATCGCTTCTGCCTGGGACACACTGGCACAGCAGTAGGAAAGCTTTTGACACTCGGAGGACTTGGGATCTGGTGGTTCGTTGACCTTATTTTGCTCATTACTGGAGGGCTTATGCCAAGTGATGGCAGCAATTGGTGCACTGTTTACTAAAAACAGCTGCTGTTATGGCCCAGGGAGGCAAGGTGAATGCTGTCTTCTGAATTCATCTCTACAGGCTCAAAACTCTTCTTTGATATCAGACCTGACTATTACTTTCCCTCTTTGGAGGAAATGGGTTTGATTGGGAAGCCTTCTTTGGACTTTGAGTTTTCAGCCCAGGTTTTTTTACCTTGCAGACTAGTAATGACATGCAAACAGTGTTGTGAGAATCAAATTTCTACCTTTTCTCGTGTACCAAATACAAAAGATAGTCACCAACTTGTAAACTGCAGGTCAAGTTTCCGTACCCTCTCTGTCTTTACACTGCTGTATCTTTGGCCCTTTGGAACAAGTGGGTGGACCCCACAGGATGAGCAAATGAATGTTTTTAGCCATGTCTCTTTTATGACCTAGAGTCTTCATGCAGAAGATATCTGAAGCTGAGCCAGTGAAAATCTTTAGCAGAAGTAGAAATGGCCATGGATTTTAATTCACACTGAAATTCTGACTTTCTGAATTTACGTTGCAGGAAAAAAATAACCAGCCTGGAAAGTTATATGGGTACTTTCGGTAGGTATAGTGAAACTCAAATTTGTTTTGCTAAAAACTAGGCATTTCAGATGAACCATCTTTTTAGTAAACTCTTTTGTATCACCAATATCATCCTCCAGAGGCAGGATATGCAGTACAATAACTTGTTCATTTCAGTGTTTTGAAAGCCAACAGTATCAAACATATGTCTGAGTTGAGCTGTTCTTCTTGACAGAATTTTCCCATCTAAAAATTAGTACCATTGATCAGTTTATGGAGCCTATGTTGTAGACTGATTAAAAAAAAAAAAAAAAAAAGATTTCACACAAGTAACTGTAAAAACTAATCCTCACGATTAGATAAGGTAGGGTGAGCAGCCTCATGCTCTTTGGGGAAAAAAACAAGACTCTTGCTTATAGGATGTTGAATACCAGGATAGAGCTAAGATGTGATTTATGGGGGCAAAGAGAAACTGAGTGCATTTTCTCAGAATAATCATGGTACCAAAAACTCTCACTGTGGGTTGTAACAGTCAGTCACAGGAAAAGAGATACAGCCAAGCTTCACATTCCCCAATCACTGAGAATAAAAGGAAATGTTCTAAATCATAACCTGGTTTTAAAAACTTGTTTTCCATCCTTTGCAGTCTAAGTTGGAAAGAACTGTTAAACATAAAATAAAATGTAGACTTTGTGGACAAGTCAAACTAAGAGCCTACTATTTGGGAAAATTTACAAATTCTACAAGTAAGATAAAACGGCTCAAAGAAGACACTTTAGTTTCATAATAATTGGCTTAAAGACCAAGATCCGCTGTTAAAGTAATTTCCCTGCATGTAGGTCTGTCATTTTGTAGCAGCCTTCCTAAAAGCTTCAGCTTTATTATCCCTAATTAATAGGATCACTGTTCTTGTATTCTTAAATGGTGGCAATTGTGTAAAAAATTAAAACATTCTGTTCTGTCTTAAAGGTTCTACGCCACACTGACCTTAACCTTGCTTGTAACAGTAATAATTTGTAGACTCTTATTCATAATCTCTGTAAGGCAGCATTTTTAAATTTTTGTGGGTTATGAAAAACCTGAACCCTCTCCCTAGAAAAATGCACACACATATAAAATTTTGCACAGAATTTCAGGGGGCTCAAGGCTGCCATATTAAAAAATATATCACCCCTAACAGAAGCCTGGAAAACAGAATTTAAAAAATCTTTCCCAACATAAGATGTTACTTTAAGCCTGCCTTATCTTACACTTTTTTTTTTTTTTAAATCTGCCTACGAGTATTCACAAACCCTATCAAAAGCTCTTTTCTTTAAAAAAAAAAGACTGGCAGCTTTGAGACGTGATATCACTAATGTTTCCAGGAGGAAGAGGTGGGTAAAAAGCTAGAAGTCTGCAAGTTATTGAAGAAGCTGTTTTATAGAACAAGCCTGTCTCACAGCCAGAAAAGCTGTTGGAGACCAAAGTTGTTTCCACTGTTATATTGATGGATGATAACTTAAGAATCATAAGTAATATTCCAGTGTGGCAATCCACAATTGTCAGTTTGAATTCAACTTCTAAAAGATGCCTGTCCTCTATGAACACAAACACTGGCCAGATGGGATACAACCTGAAAAACTGACCTGAGTAAAGGAATATTATTAAAAACTTTATTTCCCTTGCACTCTGAATTCTGGATGTTTCTTAATATTTGGTAGGTATGTATATGTTATATTGAGTTTGTGCCAACAGAGGAATTTTAAAATACTGAAGCCCCTCTCTCCAGGTTAAATTAGGAAGGAGGCTTGTTTTTCCATTGTTTATCTTTAAATAAAATGTTATCAGCTTCCCAGACTTCCTGGCACCACATCCTTCCACTTTGCTTAATCAGGCTTTTTAGCAGCAGTATAGCACCCCCAACCTTGTGATCCCTGAACATGTGTGTGTATTTTAAAGCATTCATTTTTCTTTATAAAAAAGAACTCCTAAAACAGTCTTTGGCATATCTTCAATACAAACCAGGTGATACAGCTTTGGTTTTTGTTAGATGATAATCTCTCTTTAAAGCAAGATGCTTAATTGATTATTTCAGGTGTAACTGTCAGGATCAAAGTTTGACTTCCTCGACGAACCACGATGGAAAGGGAGTCATTGTCCTTAACAGCTTCAATAACATCAGTTGTGGTGGTAACAGGTTGCCCGTTTATGCTCACAATTACATCCTGGTCTCTCAACCCAGAGCTGGGAGGAAGAAAAATAAAAATACCATGAAACTAGAAGAAAAGCTTCACTTATCCCCACCTAGAATTTTATGTCCATCTCTTTTGGCACTACTATTTTGCTAGCATTAAGCATACAAACCAGGAAACCAGAGATAATACTCAGTTCTTCCAAATATGAAGAGCTGTTTTAACATGTGCTGTGAAATCACCTGGAACACAACAATCCTATTTGCCTTTATAAAATGAGTACCTACCAGAATCATGTGTAAATACTCTTCCCATACAATGGATTTGGTTTGGAATAGGGAGTTTAGCTTCTAATCTCTGTTAATTGCTGGCCTCTGTTAACCTCAAGCACACCCCCAGGCCTTACAAGCAAAAGTAAACAGTCCAAGCAACACATTTTCCCTCAGATGGCTATACTCTGATCAGTATGATTTTGACAGCCCACTTACTTGCCCCATCTTCACCCATAGTTTACGAAACTGGAGACCATGTTGAGCTGCACTATAGAAGCTCTGCTTCCAGTAGGTCAAAATCCAGTCTAAACTTTCCAAGTCTAAATGTTTAGGGCTCTGGTTCTAGGCTCCTTTTCCCCAAAGTTATAATTATATTCCCTCTCCAACAGATTTACTTCACACACAATATGTATTCTAGAAACAAAAACCAGCTCCGAATACTAATGTGTAACCATGCTGATGATTTGTCTTTAAGCAGACAGTACACTGTAAAAGAGACCATCAAATTAAATGACTCCAGGAGACACTCATTAAGAGAAATGGGGGTGGGGGGGCGGTCAAGGAAGAAGAATAATGTGGCAGGAGTATCAAGGTATGTGGAGTTTATAAATAAATTAGAGAAATGGGGTTTAAAGCAAGAGAATGTGAAGAGAAGTGAGTGTAGAACTAACTAAAAGCAAGAGAAGCCTTTAGAACAAGGACAGCTCAGGAGGATGACTTGGGACAGCGTGTCCTCCCACCCCCACCCTACCCCCACCGCAAAAAAAAAAAAAAAACAATAGTAGTCTTCTGCTGTAGGTATTATTCTACAGAGGAAGCAGGTGTGGTACAGCAAGGTTAATTAACTTGTAGTATAACCATCTGGTGAAAATATTGTTTGGACTGTTCTCTTTTGCTTGTAAAACCTAGGGTGTGTTGAGATTAGTAGTTAACTCCCCATTCCAAACCAAATCCATTATATGGAAGGAGTAAACTTCTTGCACATGATTCTGGTAGGATAGTAATTTTGTAAAGGGAAATAGGATTGTTGTGCTTCAGGGGATTTCGCAGCACATCTTACAACAGCCCTCATATTTGTAAGATTTGATCCTGGGTCTTTCTGACTGGAAAGCCTATCTGCCAGTAAATCCCTCCACCTCTCAGAAACAAGAAAAGCACAATAATACAGGGGTTAAAAGCAGAAGCTCAAGCACATCCTGCTGTCTGATTGTGAAACTCTACCCATTAATTAACCTCTCTGTACTGTGCCTACTTCCTCTGTAAAATAATATGTATATCATAAGACTGTTGGGTGATCACAGGACTATATAAAACACTTACAATAGTGCCTGACATATACTAAGTGCTTAATAAGTATCAGCTATTGTTAATGTAATTATTATCATTATTAGGTCTAAGTGGATGAAAGAAAGAATGGATCGCTGTTTATCAGTGATTCAGAGCAGTAATTCTCACATTTTAATGTGCATACAAACCCCCTGGGGATCTTGTTAAAAATGGAGGTTTTGATTTAGTGGATGTAGGGTGGGGTGTGTGAGTGTCCATTTCTAACAGGCTTCAGGTGATGCTAATGCTGCTGGGGCTACAGACCACATTTTGAGAAGCAAGGACTAAAAGAGCTGAAAGAAACACCTTTGGCCTTGAACTAGAAGTTAAAAATAAGGAAGTGGGGGAGGGCACTAACCATGAAAGTCTAGAAAAGCCTGTGACAACCCAAATTTAGAAACATGAGACCTATCACTTAGCTATTGTGAACAGCTAGTACCCTGTGATTTCTTCCTCCCTCCCCCATAAAAGAGTTAACACGATCTGAACAGATGATTGCTCTTAAGAAACAAAAACAAGTGAGGGTTACTGAAGAAGTACAAGGAGAGACAGACCCAGGAAAATAATATTTATAGGACAAGCCACCTCTTCACTTAGTCTAAGTGTCTCAAAACAGCAATAAAATTAGCTGGAGAACCTTCTTCTGGGCTACTGTAGCCTTTGCTTTATTTCACAGGTCTTAGTGCTCCTCAGAAGGAGCCCTGGTGGCACAGTGGTTAAGCACTCAGCTGCTAGCCAGAAGGTCAGTGGTTCAAACCCACCAGTGGCTCCACAGGAGAAAGACGTGGCAGTCTGCTTCCATAAAGATTTACAGCCTTGGAAACCCTAGGGGATAATTCTGCTCTGTCCTCTAGGGTCGCTGAATCAGAATTGACTCAACAGCAACAGGTATTAGTGCTGGCCTCTGGTACTGTCATCCAAGTTTAATGAAAAAAGTGTTTTAAAATATTTAAATGTACTAAAAACGTTGGCTGTAACTACAAAGAAGGTGTCCAGCCCTCTGGTTCTTCTGAGTCTTAATAACTAAGGTATCGAAAAGGCTAGATTCGGGCATTCCTACCAAAATTAATTTAAACTTATGCTATTAACTCATATCATGAGCTCTTCTTGGGCTACAGAGAACCATCCCCCTCCAAAAAAAAAAAGCTCTTACAAATGCACGAGTCTAAATCAACGCTGTCCAACAGAGATGTAATGCAAGCCACATATGTAATTTTAAATTTTCTAGCAGCCACATTTAAAGAAGTAAAAAGGAAACAAGTGAAATTATCTTATTTAACTCATTATATCCAAAATATTATCATTTTGGTATGTAATATATATTTAAAAATTACTAATGAGGCATTTTACATTCCATTTCATATAAGTCTTTGAAACCCACTAGAAACGACACACCTGCTAGATGTGCTGCTCTGCAACAATATCTTACACATGCAGTGATTTAAGTGAAATGCAGTCCTTCCAAAACAATGAAGTTGTGTATAATGAAAAAATACTTTACACTGCTCCTGTTTTTGAAACTGAAATTAATAAAAAATTAAAATGTAGAACTCAGTTGCACTAGACACATTCCAAGTGCTCAATAGCCAGATGTGAGTAGTGGCCACCAGACTGGGCAGCACGAGTCTAGATCCTACGGACATTTACCAGGGCACCCATCTAGAAAGAACAAAGGAGGCTGGGCAAACTCCCGCATTTGTCTTAACCTTTCAGCAGCTGTTCCTTGAAACACTTCATAAACAAAAACCCCCGAACTCACATCAGGGAAATCTGGATCCTGCCTTTTCATTTCTTGAAGAAGACTAAGAGAAATGAGAAGAATCTCGTAAGGTCAAGAAGCACAATTAATTTAATCTGCCTGAGCCATCCTAAAAGCCTGTAACTCTTAGTAGAACTCTACCTGTTCTGGTCAAGGCTCTTATCTGCTCTGCTCAATAGCCAATAAGGATTCCATTGAGCCAATGACAAGTATTCTTCGCTGGGTGGTGTGATTCTCTATGCAGGAGCCTAGAACCACTGGACATGATAAAATACAGACACAGTGAAAGAAACTACTGAAAAGTACAGTTAATGCCAGTGCAGACAGAGGCAGATACATACTCTCTGACAAATAGGGCCTACAGTCACAAGAGTCCCTAGCTGCAGTCCAAACGCACTAGCTGCCCTGTTAAGACTGTCCAGTTGTGGCTTTTGCTTCTGAAGAACAACCCAGACATATTTAAATACATGCTTACTTCATAGTGAGCGGCAACATTCATAGACCCAGGTATTTCTCCTGTGAAAGAACCCTTCCTAGAAGAAAGGAGAATTATAATGTTACTAACAACAAAAACTTCTTTCCTTTTGGCATAGCTTAAAAGGCACCGAGTCGCCCAATATCCTTACCAGTATAGCTGCCCTTCAGGCTGTAAGCCATGAAATACATGCTTCAGAAAAACCTTTGTCATCAGCACATACACTCCTCCCGCCCACCACCTCCATCTCCAGCCCAGGAGTTTCCATTTCCACAGTAGGTTAACCCAAATATTCCTGGGTACAACTCATGCTTGGTTTTTGTGCCTAATCCACCCATGTTGTGCCCCAAACCACCATTAGAGGAGCTGGGCACAGGGGACACAGTAGACAATTGAATTAACCATCTCCTTTACAGAAGATTGAGCGCACCTGAAAACACAAAGAACCTGCTGCCATCGAGTCGGTTCTGACTCATAGCGACCCCATGCGTTACAGAGCAGAATTGCTCCATAGGGTTTTCTTTACTCCATAGGCTGTAATCTTTCAGGGAGTCCCTACGTAGTGCAAACGGTTAAGCACTCAACTATTACCAAAAGGCTGGTGGTTTGAACCCCCCCAGAGGCACCTCAGAAGACAGGCCTGGTGGAAGGTCACAGCCTTGAAAACCCTCTGGAGTGCAGTTGTACTCTGCACACACGGGGTCGTCGTGAGTCGGAGCAGATTCAATGGCAACTAACAACCACAATCTTTACAGAAGCAGATTGTCAGGCCTTTCTTCCATGGTGCCACTGAGTGGATTCAAACGGCCAATTTTTAGATTAGTAGCCACTTGCAAACCACTTGCCCCACCTGAGGACCTTTGTGAAATACAAGAGGGGTCAAAAAAAGCCTAACTTCCTTCACCTTTCAACTGGCGCTCATGGAAATCTGCCAAGAACTGCCGAATTCGATCTGAGGGAATTGCAAAAGAGATTCCTGCTGTCATGGATTGAATTGTGTCCCCCCAAAAATGTGTGTAGCACCTTGCTCGGTCATGATTCCTAGTATTGTATGATTGTGTTATCTGATGTGATGTCCTTATGTGTTGTAAACTCTACCACTATGATGAGATTATATGTGATCTCCTCATGTGTTGTAAATTCTATCACTGTGATGAGGTTATACTGATGAGGCTGACAAGATGAGTGTCTTAATACAATCTCTTTTGAGATATAAAAGAGAGAAGTGAGCAGAGACACATGGGAACCTCATACCACCAAGGAAGCAGTGCTCGGAGCAGAGCGCATCCTTTGGACCTGAGGTTCCTGCGCACAGAAGCTCCCAGACCAAAGGAAGACTGATGACATGGACTTTCCTCCAGAGCCGATGGAGAAAGGGTTCCCCTGGAGCTGATGCCCTGAATTTGGACTTGTAGCCTACTGGACTATGAGAGAATGGACTTTCTTTGTTGAAACCATCCCCTTGTGGTATTTCTGTTGGAGCAGCACTAGATGACTGAGACGTCTGCTATCACTTTTAGTGTGTTTATGCCAATCACATCACCATCCTGGAACGGGAGGAGACATCATTCAGTCAATAAGTTGTGTGCAAACTGATCGGTGCAAAACCAGGACAAGTAAAGGAGGGTGTGAAGCTAGTCACATACAGTCAGAATACAGAAGGGTTAGAGGATATCACATTATAGGGCTAGTAGTAGAGGTGACCTGCAAGAGTGCAAAAGTCACCTTTTTTCAGGGTCAGAAGATCAAGGTTGCTGAAGAATTCTTTTGTTTTTTTAATCTCGAGTTCATTTTTTCCCTTCTCTAAATTACAGATTTTAAAAGTGAACCACATCAAATTCTTAGGAAATCCAGACTTTCTGGAGCCATAGAGACTGGATGCCCTGAAATGTTTCAGGGTTTTTAAACCTTAAACCAAGTATATCCCCTGAAGTCTTCTTTAAGCCAAGCAATAGTTTAGCTTTAGCTTAATTAGTAAAGAATGTCTGCCTTGAGCATTGTGCTCTTTTAAAGAACTAATGTGGGATCAAATTGACAACAGCAACTCTGAAGGTTAGAGAAGAAACTTAGGAGGCAGTGAGTGTATGTTGATGAAGGAGGAACAATCCACAGAAGGAGGGTGAGAATGGTTGCACAACTGGAAGAATGTAATCGACGTCACTAAATTGTACATGTAGAAATTGTTGAATTGATGTATGTTTTGCTGTGTATATTTTCAACAACAAAAATGAATAAAATAAATTACTTTTTTAAGTGAGCCAGTTTGTATTTTGACACAAATGAGAGGACAAGGAGCATTTGCCTTTTTATTATTTAAATAAAACTAAAACTAAAGACGGAAAAGAAAAGAAAAAAAAAGCTGTAGAATTCCTACAACACTTCAATGCAACTATTCAGAAGAATTAGGGAACAAAGATCTGCCAAGTAGGAAACAGTTTCCTTTTTAAGTACTTCAGCATCCTTTAGCCATTACTTTTGTTAGGTGATGGAAGAGGTAGGTCTGGGGTGTGGCCTGAATCTATGCATTTCATCCCGACTCTAGTATACTCATTGTCTAATGAAAGCAGGTGCAAAAAATTACATGTAATATTAGGAGCAAAAGTCTTCAGTAATTTCACACACAACTCATCCTCCTGAACACCAGCGTAATTTTCAAAGAGAGACCAAAAACAACAGCTCAAAGGGACTCAGCATTATCACAGATGGTACGTCAAACGTCATTGCACTCTTATGTTTTCACTTGTATTTGGCAACTAGAAACCCTGGCGCTTCCACTGGAGAAGGTGAATAAAGTTGAAGCGTAAAATACATGACAGAGCAATGAACTGATGTTTTGGCTTTTTTCTCAACTATAAGCAGGTTAAGACTGAAAACCTGGACGAGGCATATCATGCAATTAGCATTTTTGGTTAGGAGTTCTTCACATGCAGCAGCAGGGGGTCTGCAAGGATGTTTACTACATGGTACAATCGATCATTTGTCATAAATCTGGGTTTAATACCCAGGACTTTGGTAACTACCCAATGAAATCAGAAAGCATGTTGGAGAGAAAAACTTGATAGTAAGCCAGAACCCTGGCAGCTCTCAGCTGGGTGAAATCACATGCCAGGATGATAAATCCATCATAGATCTTAAATTTTCTCTAATCATTTATTTAAGATCCAAGAATAGGAAAGTATTGTTCCACAAATTTCTACATAACAGTGACACCCATGTCTGCATCAGAGAATTTGTAAAGTCTTTGAAAGTTAGGAAAACACATGAAGCAACAAGGAAAGTGGCCACTCACCAAGTTCACCAGAGGCCCCCCAGAGTTCCCATGCTGAAGAGAGAATTTGGAAAAAAAAAATCAGTAAGGTCAATGAATGAATTTCTCCTTGTCATTTATACTTAATTCCTAAAGGGGTTTACCAAAAGCAGCCTGCTCTTGTGAACCCCTATTCCTCCAAGGCATGCAAAATCGTGCCCCCCACCATCACCAATACCAAAGTCAGTGTAGGTCTAGAACAGCAGCACAAGGACGACCACAGCAGTGGACCTCTCCGACAGACCCTAAGAGACCACCCAGTATCGCGGATGCCAATTATCACATCAAACAGGCAGAACTCTAACAATGGGGCATTCTATCCCTCTTGTAAGGATGTAACTCAACTCTGGATCCCCAAAAGGCCAAAGGGAAAAAGAAGTCACTCTGAGGCTTTCTTCTCGTTGTACTGCCAGTATCTTACAGGCTGAGTATGGCCCTCCTAAGTGACTCACGTTAATTATGGCATCAGTCTGGATACAATCCATGTCTGAATCCTTCAGCCCCAGCTCTCTGCCCCCTCTGTGTAGTGCTGACAATTCCTGCCATCACTGTGTTCTGCAGAGAAAATGGGCTGCCCAAGGCCACCACGAACTCTCCAACCTGAAGATCAGATGATCTCCCCAGCAGCAATACAGGAAGGTCAGTCTGCACACGGGAAGGAAGGATAAGGAAGAAGACCGAAAAGATGAACAGATCAAGAATAAAATCAACTCAATTTGTGTACAATACATATATGACAGTCTCTATCACTTTGGCACTTATAATCTAAGAATCACCCACACAGATTCTCCGACTGCCTTATGCTTCTTTCTTAAATTCGAACTACGACCAAACTCTCACTAGTTAAGGTGATCAGTATCATCTCTAAGATCTGAAATTACTGCTTTGTAGAAATGCCTGTAAGTTAACCACCAATGAAGTAACTAATGAACAGAATCTGACATTACCAGTTTACTTAGCACTATTCCAGCTCAAAAGTTTACAGTCCAAGTTAACAGAACAGTGCTTCTCAATCTTTAATGTGCTCACAAATAATCTGGGGATCTTATTAAAATACAGATTCTGACTCAGTTGAGCTGGGTGGGGTCTGAGACCCTGCATTTCTGAAAAGCTCTCAGATGATGTTGATGCTGCTGGTGTGAAGCCATACTTAGTTCTGCAAGGACCTCAAAGTACTCTTTAGCTGAAGTCTTCTTAAAACCAAACCATAGTTTAGCTTAACTAGTAAAAAATGTCTGCCTTGAGCTTTGTGCTCTTTTAAGATCTATCTATATGGGATCTATATGGTAGCGCAGTGGTTAAACGTTCGGCTGCTAACCAAAAGGTTGGCAGTTCAAATCCACCAGCTGCTCCTCAGAAAGCCTATGGGGTAGTTCTACTCTGTCCTATAGGGTCACTATGAGTCGGAATTGACTCAAGGGCAATGGGTTTTTATATGGGATCAAACTGACAACAGCAACTCAAAAGATTAGATAGGTGCCTTAGGGGGCAGTGAGTTTAAATTAATGCTGGAGGAACAACTCAGAAAAGGAGGGTGAGAATGGTTACATAACTCAAAGAATGTAATCAATGTCACTGAATTGTACATGTAGAAACTGTTGAATTGGTGTGTTTTGCTGTGTATATTCTCAACAACAACAAATACAGTAAAACCTGCAAAAGCTAGAACCTGTGTAAGGCAGAGACCTGTCAGAGAAGGAAAACTCAAATATTTTCCATTAAATGAGTGATAGAAAAGTGGTAAGACTGTACCGTCAAAGGCGGAAAACTTCTGAGACCCAGAAAAACAAAGCACCCCTGCCGAGTTCCAGCTCTCACAGAATTCAGTGTAAATCTTTTTTTTTTTTTAATTATAGGTATGACAATGAATTCCAGTTTGCTTTAAAATTACAACCCAAAGGACACGAAGCATCTCTCAATACAGGCTCAAAACTGGGGTTGGCATACATAATAAAGAAAATATGAAAAAAAAAAGAAAGTATTCCTCTGCTGAGGTTGCTTATGTTCAACCAAACACCTCGTGGATGTGGTTTCTTGGTTTGGAGGTTTAGGGTCATGGTTTCATGGAACATCCCAGTTAATTGGCCTGATAACGTGTTTAGTGCTTCTGTTCTACCTCCTAGTTCACTGCCTAGTGCCTGGGGTCTTAAAAGCTTGCAAGTAGCCATCCAGGGTACAAGAATTGGTCTCTATTCACCTCGAGCAACAGAGGAAGAGAGTCAAAAACAGCAGTGTCACTAGAGTTAATGTCACCCCTCCCCATGGGCCTCCTCCCATACCAGACCATACTGACTACTTACAATATTGTAGCTAAAACACCAACAGTGCTTGTAGTGCACGCAAACGAAACCCCATGACTCACAGCATCATTGTGACTGAGTAATAATGACAGCTCTGACTGGAGCGCATTAGAAGGTTCAAAAAGTAAATCAGCATACAGTTTTAGCCCTGTAGTTATACTGATACATGTAAGCTGGGCTTATGAAAAATATTTTTGTTATTATAACTAACTACGGGGATATTTTTATAAAAATAATAAATTTCTGCTGAAACACTACACATTTTATAGTCCTGTTGGTGTCACCCCCTCTAACAGAGTCGCCCAGTGTGGTCTGTACCCCACCCCTGCACTCCCCTAGTGACGCCACTGGTTGGGAATAGGAAGATGAAGTGGAATGCATGGCTAATTGCCTCTTTTACCATAAGTCCAGAAGAACTGTATGGTGCCCAGTTGTCATTACTGAACATTTTGATGAAAGATTCCATATAAGAATCCTGATCAAAAGGAGGAAAATACAGAATTTCAAATTATCATGGACTCTAGACTTTCTATAGCCATGGAAGGTGGATGAACCCATGAAACTATTGCCCTGAGATAATCTTGAAACTGTAAACCAAAAATATCCCTTGAAGTCATCTTAAAACCGAACAATAGTTTAGCTTAACTAGTAAAAAAGGGTCTGCCTTGAGCATTACACTCTTTTAAGAACTATCTGTATTGGATCAAATTGACAACAACAACTCAAAAGATTAGATAGGAACCTTAGGGGGCAGTGAGTTTATGTTAATGGAGGAGGAACAACTCAGAAAAGGAGGGTGAGACTGGTTGCCCAACTTAAAGAATGTAATCAATGTCACTAAATTGTACGTGCAGAAACTGTTGAATTGGTGTATGTTTTGCTGTGTACATTCTCAGCAACAACAAAATAAAATTTAGAAGGAAAAAAAGTATTCCTTAGCAGCTTTGAGAATTTACAATAATTGAGAAATCACAATGATTCTGGTATAATATGGCAAGCAGAGAAATATGTTTCCCAGAAGCAGTATCTATGGAAGATTTTGAAGGAGAAAAAAAACTTTGGGATAATTAATAGAAATTGTTATCAATGTACAGATAGGCATGGAAGAAAATTAACAACAACCAAAAAAAGGTAAAGGAAACAAAAAAAAAGCATATACTGGGTAGAAAAGATAATGTGGGGGTGGGAAGGAGGATAAAATATCAGCATATTGATGAAACTCCCCAAATATGCAGACTCTGATTTGGCCCTCAAATACTCACATTTGGCTCAATCTTAATCAAAGCAAGGCCCAGCTTATGGTCAATGTCCTTGACAGTGGCTTCATACTGGACCCCATTCTGGAGCTCCACCTGGATCCGCTGCCAGTTAGTAAGGACATGAGCATTGGTGACAATGAGCCCATCCTCAGACACTATGAACCCAGAGCCACTGGATGCAGGAATGTCCTTGGTGCTGAGAGGTGACCCGTCTCAGCAAGACAACAGTATAAAGCTAAGGGCAAGAAAATCAGGGGGGCTTCACTTTTATTAAACATACCTCCATCACAGTTTTCTCAGACATTTTACTTTTCCCTGTCTGTGTTTTCATTTCTTCGTGTGTAAATGGGCTCTGTGTGTACAGTGCCCTGCTATCTCTTGTTCAAGATATTGAAAGCTCGTTCCAACTCCACATTTCCAGGGATATACTCCCTTCTTCGTAGCTGGTCAGTACAGAAATCTGCAAGCCCTCTGCTTCAAAGAAGCCTAAACTAATCGTAATACTATGGGCAAAAGGGGGCCTGATGACACAATATCGAGGACCAAATCAAGGAGGTAGTCAGAAGGTCTGGGTTCTGGTTTAGGTTTCACTATTAACTGTCCTTGCGACATAGGGGAGCCCTAGTGGTGCAGTGATTAAGAGCTCTGGCTGCTAACCAAAAGGTCGGCAGTTTGAATCCACCACCTGCTCCTTGGAAACCCGATGGGGCAGTTCTACTCAGTCCTATAGGGTCACTATAAGTCAAAATGGACTCCAGGGCAATGGGTGTGGGGTTTTTTTTTTTTTTTTTTTTTTTG